ACAGACCCATGTGCACAAGCAGGAAAAGAGCCCCTCTGATCTCCGTGACAGGAGTGGGGGAATTGCAGATAGCTGTTGTTTGTCTGAAGATGGACAGATCTTGACTTAAAAATGGAAGGAAAAACTACCAGCATACGCACAGCTTGAAGAAGGATCTGGTAGACTGAAAGGTAATGCATAAAGGTGTGTAATGGCTCACTTAAAGCACCGGTTACCATGCCAATGTGTGACTTATCAGTTCACTCATAAAACAGCATTTTTTTTGTTCAGTCACAAAAATTGCAAGACCTTTTAAGTTTGAGGAACTGGAATATGACGGTGAAGCAAGAGGAAACGAGAAGCTCTTTAATGCAGCTAGAGGTAAACTTATCCGCTCCACATATATTTGCACAGTTAATGCCTTACAATTTTTCTCGATTGCTTAAACACATTTCTTGAAACTATGCCTCATATTTTAAGACCAGTAAACACAATCCATAACATCTCACCCAATGTTCCAAACATCATGTAGGTCAAAATGAAACTCTACACTCAAAACCCAACTTTGCCTACAGACACAAGGCCTCAAAAACACACACACTACAACACAGTCTTGCACATACAGTAGGTGCAATAAATTAAAAACAATAGTTGTAAAACTGGAAAGTTGGTTGCTTGTGGTTCTTCCCCATAAAAACTTTTTCACATGATGGACACAGAAGACAGTGTACGTACAGTGGTGAATTTTATTCATGCACCATACAGTACAACACACACCAAACACACACCAGACATCATTCCACCTCAGCATCTGGTCTTTGGTCTGGGTCAGGCCAGAGAGTCTCATCCACATCACAGGCTATCGGCACTCACCGGGGGGCGGCAACAGTGGAGCAACTCACATTGGGCTGGACTCGTTGCCCCACCTCCCTCATAGTCATACCATGGACAAGGACATGGTCAACTAAAGCGGCTTGAATTTCATCCGAGACCACTTGTCTCCTTGCCCTCGCTTTTCCCCTCCACCTCCTCCTCCCTTGTGTCTTAGACCTCCGCCTCTTCTTCCTCTTCCAACTCTTTCACCTCCCCTTCCCTGGTGTCCTAGATCTCCTCCTCTCCCTCCTTTTCCAAATCTTCCACCTTCTCCTCCCTGGTGTCTTATACCTCCTCTTCTTCATCCTCACCCCCCCCCCCCCCCCCCCCAGTGTTGTAGACATCCTCTTGCTCTTCCTCCTTTTCCACTTTCTCCTGTTGTCTTATACCTCTTCTTCCTCTTCCTCTTCCACCTCTTCTTGCACCTCCTTCACCCTAGTGTCCTGGAGCTCCTCCTCCTCTCCCTCCTTTTTCCACTTTCTCCTCCTGGTGTCTTATACCTCTTCCTCTTCCTTCTCTTCCACCTCTCCCTTCCATGGTGTCCTAGACCTCCACTTCCACCGCCTGAAAGCAGCTGAAAACTCACCTGTTCAAGCTGGCTTTGGTGTGACCTTCACCACCCTCCTTGTTCTACTCTCCCCACCTATTCCACCTTCCTCAGGATCCACTGATTCCCCTCTTTCCTTTTCACTCTCTCTCTCTCTTTCTTTACATTTTTATCACAATGGTCTATTTTTTGATCATTTGAAATATATTTTTAACCATTTTCTAAATTCTTTTTTATATTTAAATTTTTTTTGTTTTTGTGAAGCGCCTCATGATTTTTATCTTGAGAGGCGCTATAGAAACGATATTTTCGTCTTCTTCCTCTGCCCTGTCCTAGACCTCCTCCTCCTCCTCTTCTTCCACTTCCTCCACCCTGGTGTCCTAGACCTCCTCCTCTTCCACTTCCTCCACCCTGGTGTCCTAGACCTCCTCCTCTTCCACCACCTCCATCCTGGGGTCCTAGACCTCCTCCTCTTCCACCTTCTCCACCCTGGTGTCCTAGACCTCCTCCTCTTACCCCTCCTCCACCCTGGCATCCCAGACCTCCTCCTCTTCCACTTCCTCCACCCTGGTGTCCTAGACCTCCTCCTCTTCCACCTTCTCCACCCTGGTGTCCTAGACCTCCTCCTCTTACCCCTCCTCCACCCTGGTGTCCTAGACCTCCTCCTCTTCCACCTTCTCCACCCTGGTGTCCTAGACCTCCTCCTCTTACCCCTCCTCCACCCTGGCATCCCAGACCTCCTCCTCTTCCACTTCCTCCACCCTGGTGTCCTAGACCTCCTCCTCTTCCCCCTCCTCCACCCTGGCATCCCAGACCTCCTCCTCTTCCACTTCCTCCACCCTGGTGTCCTAGACCTCCTCCTCTTCCACCACCTCCACCCTGGCATCCCAGACCTCCTCCTCTTCCCCCTCCTCCACCCTGGTGTCCTAGACCTCCTCCTCTTCCATGTCCTCCACCCTGGTGTCCTAGGTTGTTTCTCAATGTCAAGACGCCTGGCCTTGCGAGGCAATGTCTTGCGAGGCCAGGCGCCTTGCTTACGAGGACACTGTCCTTGGGGTGGCATAATGGGTGGGTGGGGTGGGGGTGGGGGTAAATATGGAGTAGATGACATTTAAACACCTAATGAACCTACAGTAGTAAAACCTTAACTCAATAAATATTTGTTCACCACAAACCTCCTGCTGATTCATGCAGAAAATACTAAAACACTAAAAAATAGAAAAGTCTAATAAAATTTTGATTGCGTGTTTATTTTATTCTTGTTGAAGAACACCAGCAGGTGGCTATAGACTAAATTTGAATTTAATGAACCATTTTAACATTTAAGTTATCCCTATTTTACAAAGCAACTATTTATCCCAGTACAAATATTATTATTACTAGTCAGATTGAAAATACGATGTCAAC